GCAAACCGTCTGAACTGTTCAACCTGGGCAGTTGAACCACTGACCCGGAAACCGGTCGCTAGAACGATTTCGTTTCCGGGTTAATTTTTAAAACCTTGTTGATATGCATCAATAACCACTTGAGGGTATCAGGTTGATATTTTGATCCTTGGTATTGGGTTTAGAGCCAACTTAGGCTATATTTGCATAAACTTAAGGGTTTATGCTTTTAAACTCCCAAATCACGAAGCTTAAAAGAATGGATACATCAAGAAAAAAATGTTGTTGCTACAATGAGGGGCTAAGGGGATGATTAAACGACTCGAAATCAAAACCATTCTGGCCACCGGTCTCTAGGTCGACGAATCTACCATCTGGTCCAAACGAATGGCCCATTTTGACAAAATAAATTAAAAAATAAAAATAATTAAAATTTAAAAAATGATCAAAAACCGTTGAACGGGTTGACAGTTTGATTGCCCGGATCAATGGGTCGTTGACCGATTCAATAGTTTTTTGCTAGGGGTCGAGTTTGGKGTAAAACGGAACTAATTGCCTGAACGATTCCTGGATCGAACGGTCCAACCATCCAGGTCAATAGCAGTTCGAAAACCATGGTTCAATAATGGTGAGAAGTTAATGGCTAGGAGCATTTCCCTCCATATGAGCAATATGATAAATGCCAAGTTAACTCATAGCTACAAGTTGAGTAACAAGAAGATTGATATGAAATCATTAGATCCGCTCACACAGCTAGAGGACTCGAATTGGTGGAAATATTGGGAGTCACTTCCAATTCAACAACAACTAATAGCTAGGGGTGTCAATTGGACTGGATTTGGTCTAATCTGATCTAGTCCAATGTGAGTCCATTATAACTGAGCTAGGTCCAATCCAATTCAATGAATATTTTGGACTATTTTGGTCTGGTCCAATTCAATGTCAGGACCATCTAATTTGTTCAAGTTTGTTTTGATTTAGATTGGTTTCAACCCAAATTTGGTCTATTGACACCCATACTCTTACCTTATATCAATAGACAAACCAGGCCCAATCCAATCTAATAAATATTTTAGACTGAATTAGTCCAATCTAATATGTCTTATTGGTCCATCCAATCCATCCAAATTGATTTTGGACTTGATGGGGTCCAATCCAAAACCGGTCCATTAACACCCTTACTAATAGCTACACCGGCCTTACTTGTTATTCAGGTATTCGAGTGTTCATATAACTTGTTCACAATAGTTTTAATACTATATCAACTTATTCTTTTGCACTATCCACAATTCTCTTGTTTGTTACATTCAAAAACGCGCAAGTTTTGAAGTTAAGTACACAATTAAAATATTTTTAATCAAAAACTATCCAAGCTCAAGAAAATAGAAGTGGGTTGCTAGAAGAATAACATCATAGTTCATGTGGTGGACAGCTCCTAATGTTATATTGAACTCTCCTGAGGCTAGTTGATAGGTCATATCTGAATTCAAATCCATGTAGGAAGATGATGATTCAGCCCCCGTTTGGAATCATTTATTTTAAGCATTTATTCATATAATTACTTAAAATAAGTGGTGGAACCACACAATAATTGAAAAATAAGTACGACAAAAAAAACAAAATAAGTACTTAATTAAAAAATAAGCAGACCTGGACTAGTTTCAGTTCTGTTCAATATTTGGTGATCTTTAAAAAGTACCAACCAAACTGAATTCGAAGTTGAATGAACATTCAAATTAATATATTTTAACCAATTAATTGAATTGTTTTACATTCATATCGTTTATCAAATAAATGAATATCTATAATAAAATTTTATTTGAGAGAGATAAAGTATATATAGAAAACCTCATGTGTATATCAATGTTGTAAATCGGGTAGGCCCAACACGGCACGTGGCACGCCCCCCGGGCCCATAGCGGGCCGAACAGATGTCCCCAACGGCTAGTTTAAGCTTTTTGGGGTTTTTTACAAAAATACCCCCCAATAGCTATAAATAGCTATATAAGGGGGGTATTTATGTATTATGATTTTGGGGAGAAAGAATGACACAAATGCCCCAACAGCTATATAACAGCTAGTTTGGGGGGCATTTTGGGTAAAGTGATAAATAATTTTACAATGACCAAAATACCCTTCTCAACAACTAAAAAATGACTAGTTTTTAGGATATTTTGGGTAATTGAATTATTTTCAATTCCTATAAATAGCCCTATCCTCCACCATTCTCATCACACCAATTCAACAATTCCTATAAGTAACCTTATCCTCCACCATTTTCAATTCCTACAATGATCAAAGTCAAGAACAATAGCAGAAAATGATGAAGTCAATGTTTTTTGTATACTCAATAGTTGTATAGCATTTTTTTCAAATTATTGTAAATTTTGTTTTAATTTTTTATGAGGGGTGATTTGGCCTGACCTAGTAAGTGAAGGACACGTGGACACGACTTGCCAGCAAGACGACAACTCAGCGTGGAGAGCCTTGTCAACAGTTTGGGAGCTTGGGTGCTCGGGCACCTCGATACCAAAGCCACTTCGGCACCCGAATACTGAAGTGCCACGTAATCAACTCTAAAAGCTTCTCCACGGACTCCGAACCTCCTGGGATCACGCAACGTAACAGCAGGCCTTATCCTCTCCCCGCCCGGAACGGAAGGTAATGATAAACTTCATTGACTGATACGTTACTCTCCCTCTAAAGCGGAACGGATCCCAACTATGCGGGTCGAGGATCCCGAAGCCGTTTTGTGAGACCTACGACAGCTCAACTATATAAGGGCATCAACCCCCAAGACCCAGGTACGCGCGATTAAGTGCATTCTAGCTCTCTCATTTCTTAAGCTCTTAGCTCACATATTACAGTTACTGACTTAAGCATCGGAGTGACCTCGCCGAGTTAGCCATCCTAGGTTCTCTAATCCCCCATTTCTTTGCAATTCGAGCAATCTACTTGGCAACAAACATCCAAGCTGCCCTACAGCTAAGAGCATCCAGATCGCACACCATCAATTTTATTTAATTTATTTGATATTTTTTAATAACATAATTTTTTATTTTCAATTTGTAACTATATTGTATTTTTTATGTTTTTATTATTTTATTCTATTTTCTAATTTTCATATTTCATTCATCCAACCATTGTATGCTTTGTATCATTCAAATTTAAATGAAATAAAATTCCTATTTTTCTTCCAATTTGGTATTCACTTTGAGTCTTTCTCTCTTTGTCTTCTTATTTGGTTAAGTATTTTTTTTATTTCTTTGTTAGATTTTTTATTTATYTTTAAATAGTTTCCAAAGTAAAAAAAAAAACCAGTCTGGCCCATTTCGACCCACACCCAAGACCCAACCTGTGGCACAACCTGACACAGCTTGCAGCCCGCTTGGCCTAGGTCCACGGCACGACACCATCCCACACGATCTTGGGCCATGGGCTGATCCCCAAATTATCCTTGCAGAGGGCGATACGGTTTGCATGGGGCGGCCCGGCGGGCCGGCACAGCCTGTTTTACTAGGGCTACAAGTCGGGCCGGGTTAGGTCGGGTTGAGGCCAACCCTAACCCTAACCCAACCTGACCTTCAACCCAACTAACCCAACCCTAACCCTAAACCCTAATTAAATTCCTTCAACCCTAACCCAACCCAACCCAACCTTCTTTCCATTCCTTAAAACTTCATAGAATTTCTCAATTTTAGATGTTAAATCAACTCTCACTACATATATTAATCCTATGTTTCATTAGTATTTGTTTGTTGACGTTTTTTTTTTGTTCTTTTGGTACAAAATTCAGAAAAACAAGTGTCAGAAATGACTATAGTTTATTATGAGTTATGACTTACGATAGATCTTTCTTAGGCGACAAACAACATAGAGTAGATGAAGAATAAAGTTTTTAAAAAACATAAAATAATGTTATTAAGGTTTTAGTCTTTCTTATTAGAATTAAGTGAAAATGGTTATCTTAAAAGAAATACATGATACTATATGGTGGGGTCTATACAAATATCATGCATCTGAACAAACCACACATATAACATATATTTATATATGACATGTACTATAGAGTCAGATTCGAATTAGATTAAATTGATTAAGGAATCAACGCTAACCCTAACCCAAACATCAACCTAACCCAACAAATAGGCCAACCCGACCCAAGTTGCAGCCTTGTGTTTTACACCTTCTGGTTCAGATGTTTATTGGATGAATCCCGCTATATCCAAATTTGATCAAGCATTTGTGTTCAAATGCAAGGATTTTTTTTAAGAAAAATGGAAGGAATTCTCCATGTATAATGAGTCAAGCATGATGTATTCCACAAGGTCATCCCTCATGTGATGCACCATGCACATGTACGGAACTGAGGTGGTGTATCATAACTGGCCCAGTACAACTGTAGAGGATTTCTTCGCACTCATTCGTATCCATCGTTCATCGTTGTTGATTGAGTTCAGGCCTCACCGTATAGTCATGTGCAAGAGTAGAATCTGGAATCTTTGACCTGGAATTTCTTTTTTAACACACCAAACAAAAACAAATCTATAAATCTGTCCTTATTTTTCCACATGGCCTGTGGGCCCGGCGTTTATATTATAATAAACCATGACATGATAATGATACTAGAAATTGCCACGTGGAAAATTTCGTGTGGTCTAAAATCTCTTTCTAGCAAACGACCCACGTAAAGGTGGACCGGGCTGGGAACAGCAAAGCAAACATCCAAATTTTAAAACCAGGTCCCGTTAGAAGGAAATTGCATCTGCACCCCACAAACACCCCCTACATACATATCTCAGCGTGCATTGAGAACATCTCTCGAAGTTTTCAATGGAAAATGTTCTTAATACACGATTGGGATATGCTGTGGGGCGTTCGTAGGGCGCCCTGTGTGGAGCGCAGATGCGAATTCCGTTAGAAGGAGTCAGTGGTCGGATCCTGGGTCCGGCCTGTCGGAAACGGGGTAGAAACCGTAGAATTGTAGAAATAGAACGGCATGGCGGCACTCGAATTCAGGGGTAAAGTTGTCAGAAAATTGGAGAGAGGGATTGTCTCTCGTCTCGACGAACCAAAGAACAATAGAAGCAGGAAACAGTTTTCTATTCCATTTCTCTCTATCACTTCACTTCTTCTATTGATTCCAAACCCTAAAAAAGATCCTCTCTCTCCCTCTCACTCTTTCCCTCTCTCTCTCTCTCTCTCTGTGAAAAGGTGCGACGTGGTATTCTCTCGCTTTCTTCCTAGTTTCGTGGAAAAGGCAAATCTTTTTCTTCGTTTTCGACCTTTCTAAACCTAGTTTTCTTTTTCGGATGATTTTGACCAGTGAATTCGCAATTTTCAGGGGTTTCAGTCTGGTAGGAAGGGCCCAAATCAGAGAAAGAGAGCTCCATATTCGAACTGTGTCTGTGTGGAAAGGTGAACTTCTGCTATTTTGAGCACAGCCGGATTTTATTGTTTCCTTGACAATTCGTTTATAGATCTGTTTCTTCTTCTTTATATTTCTTCAGTTTGATTTATTTGGTATTATTGGTGATATGGATTTTCTAGAATGATGTTTGGGATTTCTGAGCTTTATATATTTGGTTCTAGAAATCGTTGCTTTGTTTTTACGTTATCTTTTATTATGATTCAAGATTGGATGATGTTGTCTTGTAGTCAGAGGATCCTAGATTCTTGTTTATTTTCTTTTTTTGTTAAATGCTATTTTTTTATAGCTTCTTATGTTCTATTTCACTCCATCCTGGTTTTATTTAATGATAACTAGTTGCTCCCACATCAGTGATACTGTAGCTATTGGATGTGGTTTGGATGTCATGAAAGAATTGAGGGACACTTTAACAAGGTCAATGAATGGTAGAGAAATGGCAAGAAGTCACATTAGGTGGCTTACTTGGGATGGCCAATCGGTCTTGTTAATGTTAGTTGATGTATTACATACTTCTTGTTTATTTTCTTTTTTTGTTAAATGCTATTTTTTTATAGCTTCTTATGTTCTATTTCACTCCATCCTGGTTTTATTTAATGATAACTAGTTGCTCCCACATCARTGATACTGTAGCTATTGGATGTGGTTTGGATGTCATGAAAGAATTGAGGGACACTTTAACAAGGTCAATGAATAGTAGAGAAATGGCAAGAAGTCACATTAGGTGGCTTACTTGGGATGGCCAATCGGTCTTGTTAATGTTAGTTGATGTATTACATACTCAGCTGCTCTTACTGCAGTTGAAGATTACTATTTTTTTTGCTTGTTTATGGTTAAAAACACATTTTTACCATTATGGGTAATGTGGTTATGGTCCTTCCCGTGGAAACATGTTAACATGCTCGGCTATTCAAAGTAAATATTGGGGTTGGTTACTATACATAAGTTCCAAGGTCAGGTAATTTCGCATTATATAAATACTTTAGGCATTTCTTATGTATATAAAGAAGGTAACCTTTTTGTAACTTTATTTATTACAGCATACAATAGTAATACAAAATTCAGAATGTTATAGAAGAATAAAATGAACCGTTTTCTGAGAAATAAAAACTGTAGCAACCTGTCAATGAAGTAATGTCTGGATGTAATAAGGATGATCGTTGATCCTTTAACATGTAGATATTTATCATAAAATGGTTATTAAGTTTTCAAGTGTTTCATCCATGGACGTTGGAAGGATGGGGGGGTACTTTGTTTAGAGACCACTTGGGTAATATTTTATTAAGATTTTGTGTTCCAGTATAGAGAGGTAATTCAATTAAGGCCAAACTACTAGAATTTTTGCAAGATTTATAAGTGGTTTATTTGTAGAAGGTGAATGCAAATTGGTGGTTAGGTGGCCGTTATCACCGTTTTCATGGTCTTTGAACCCTTAGATTTATTACTAGAGAAGCTAAAGATTTGTCTTCAGCTTTGGACAGGTCATTCAGTTGGAACCCGAGGTTGGCAAATAGCCTTGCTGATGATTTGATTAGGAAGGGGGTCTCAAGATCTGAATTAAATTGGAACCTGAGAATGTGCATTGGAGTCTGAGAGCAGCCACTCCACACAAAAATAAATAAATTAATTAATAAAAATTCCAAAGCTTGCATCCATATTCACTCTACCCATCTGGCCCTCTCAAAATCCCAGATTTGCAGGACCATCGTTAGGTAATGGCCATTATTTGGTCCAAAGCTAAGGGCTAATTTGCAAACAGTATTATAATGCTTTATGGCAGTGTGGCCAGCCTTGCTACATTGTACTAGTCCCTACTTTTCTGTTTCTTGGGAAGCAGGAATTCTATCCTTCTTTATTTCAATATAATTTTTTGCTTGTTCTTGATGATAAAAAAGAGGGTACTTGATCATCCTTTAAATGTTTTAAGTGATGAAAATTTGAAAACATGCAAAAGAAATATTTGAAAAGAATTCTTCCTTGCAATGTTTTATTTGGACACTAGAGATTTTTTAGAAAAAGAATACTCAAAGAGAATCCATATTTTTGCTTTTGTAAAGAGGCGAGCTTATGGAAATTTAGCAATGAAAAGAAGAAATTCAGATGGATTACAAAGTATATGGAAGTAAAGATAGATTGAGTCAAGAGGAGTGCAAACTCCATGGCAGATGCTCTAGCTAAACAAGGGACGGGTAGAAACTTGTTATTTTGGGCACAGTTGTAATATAGTCTTTAATCTGTGGGGAGAGATAAGAGAGTTTATCTCTCTTTCTGTTTACTTATTTGTACTTTTCTTCAATCCTTAATCTTAATGAAAGTTGGTTATTGTCTCATATTGATAAAAAAAATCTTGGTTCTGTTTCTGTATTTCATCTTTTTATCAATGAGATCACTGATTCATTATCTGTAGTGATGTGAAAAACGATACTTCAAATGCATTAAATTCTCCTTTGTGGCATTTTTTTGAGTATCTTCTTCATAAATCTGCATGATTTATGGTAAAAAGGCTTTGTAGGATTTTGAAAAGGATGGTCACTGAATGACATGCTTATATGAGTTGGTGAATGGTGATTAGGGCTATCAACAAGCTGGGCTAACTCATGGTATTTCTTTGCTTGGTTTACCATAGGCAATAAAGCTCAGTTTGGAGCTCAAGGGCCAATTCTGATTATCAAGCCAGAGATGGACTATTGGTTCATTTACTATACTTAAACAGAACCAGTATTTTTGCTAGCATTTTTTTTTTTAATTTCTTTGGATGTGTTGGCTTCTTCCCTTAAATGGCTGTCAAGGTATTTCTTGTTGCTCTAGGATATTTTCATTATAAAGAGGTCGATCTTGGTGCTGCTCCTTTAAAGGTTTAAAATTGTAATGGAGCTTCAGATTTTGAATCTTGTAGTTGCAATTCTCTGAAGTAATAACATTGGGTGGGCTACCAGTTTTAGAAAGGTCCTGTCTAACTTCCCCATTCTAGAATTGTCTCTGTGTATAGCAACTCCTTTTTACCAATTTCCACTGACATTTTAAGATTTCTCATATTTTTCTGTCTGGATCAACTGATCAATTCCAATCATAGAATTTTATTATTACACTAGCTTTAGGCAAACCTGCTTAGCTCCTAAGGAAGTAATTTCTGTTCCTGCATCTATTTTATATTTAAAATATATAAAATAGAGTCCACCCTTCACAAAGGCCTAAATGGAGCTACAAAGGCACAAAGCAGTTGCTATAGGTTGCATGACTGCAAGCCCCTTAAGCTAATCCCATAGCTACGTAATACAAGACCATGGAACCTAAAAAGATAGATGGAACTTGATGGTGCTATAGGTTTGATCTGTGTTATATGGTTTGGTAATTCCATTACTCATTATATGCTTTTTCTTTGGTTGATAACAATATAACTTTTACATATATGGCCTTCTTGTTAAGGAATATGATAATGAAAAAACTTCATTAAAACAATAAAAAGAGTTGGTACAAAGGGCAAGTAAAGAAACAAGAGCTCAACACTCAAGAAGGGCCCTGCCAAATACATGCAAACCAGAATGCCCAAACAATTGCTATGGAATATCAGGATCTAATGGAGTTGATCTCTGTCAATACTTGATCTAGCAAGGCCTTTTTTTATTGATCTAGTTAGGACATTAGCCAAGGTATTTTCCGATCTTCTCAACCAGTTGAGCAAGATGCTAACTCATGCTGCCAATGATCTACCCTCTTGAACGTGATGCCTTGGAATCCAAGGGCCATCCTTCTCAATCACTCATCCATTGGTTTCATACATGTATTTTTAATTTAACCTCATCAAGTGTGTATTTTCTATCAGGAGGTGGCCAGCCATGACCTGTTTATGATTTATTTATTTGTTTGTTCTTTCTTAATGTGATATCAGATCTCAGAAGACAGAGATTATCTTGCACAAACTAGAATGGATCAGCAAACCCATGGACAGCCCCCAGTCATGGGGATGGTCAGTAATGCTGCTCAAGTGCCATATGGTGCAAATCCATATCAAGCTAACCAGATGATTGGAGCCAACCCCCCTGGATCAGTTGTCACATCAGCTGGATCCATTCAATCTCCTGGCCAACCATCCGGTTTTACTGCCTCTCCAGCTCAGCTTGCACAACACCAACTTACTTATCAGCATGTCCACCAGCAGCAGCAACAGCAACTGCATCAACAACTCCAGGCTTTCTGGTCAAATCAGTACCAAGAAATTGAGCAGACCACTGACTTCAAGAACCATAGCCTTCCGTTGGCAAGAATCAAGAAGATAATGAAGGCTGATGAGGATGTAAGGATGATATCAGCCGAGGCTCCTGTTATATTTGCCAGGGCCTGTGAGATGTTCATCTTGGAGTTAACACTGCGTTCATGGAATCACACAGAGGAGAACAAGCGGAGGACACTCCAGAAGAATGACATTGCTGCAGCAATCACAAGGACTGACATCTTTGACTTTCTAGTAGACATTGTGCCCAGAGAGGATTTGAAAGATGAGGTACTTGCCTCAATGCCCAGGGGAGGAACCATGCCTGTTGGAGGTCCATCTGACCCTCTTCCTTACTATTATATGCCTCAACATTCGCCACAAGTTGGAACTCCAGGGATGATCATGGGTAAGCCAGTGGTTGACCAGGCTCTATATGGGCAACAGCCTCATCCTTACATGGCTCAGCAGATGTGGCCTCAACCACCACAACAACAGCAGCAGACACAACAAGCACCTTCAGATTCTTGAGCTTGGATAGTGACTGCAGAAGACAGTTTGGAGAAGAATGTAAGTGAAAACTGAAAACTCATCATATCATCTCTAAACAGTTGTTAAATTTGGTATTTAACATACTGTGTTTGTTGTTAGGAAATATGATTTTTTTTTTTTATCAATTTATGAAATAGGGACTTCACCATCTTGTCCTTTTCCTTTGGGCTGGTATTTCTTCTTGCATTATGATTTCTACCAATAATTTACCAAGCAACTACCAAGAATATCATCTATGTGGTTTTTTCATATGTTATCCAGTCAAAGATGTTATTGACTCTAATGGCTTTAAGACTATAACCAGAAGATTCTGTGGTTTCTTTTCAGAGCCATGAATGTTCAGCCTTCTGGGCATATAGATTATTTCTCTATTTCTGAAATTGTAATTGTGCATATTAGGTGATTGGGTTGCTCTAATCTGTTCAGATGTATCCACTTTTTCTTTATTCAAAGGTGACGTTGTTATGAACTGCAGTCGCCCACTTTCCCCTTTTGTGTGGTCAGTGTTAAATTCAAAGGATTTGTAAGTTCACCGTCAAAAAACAAGTTGTATGAAACGGCACCCTTTTTTATTTCTATCAAATGGCTAGAGCATATACCATGATAAGAAACTTTCTCTTGATCATGTGCTAGAGCTCTTTTTCATTAACTATATATATCAGCATAAAACAATCTCCATATCTTTTTCAAAGTTTGTGTGTTAAGATAGTATTTTTCATTCTCCATTTTGTTCTTATTTTATAATTTGATACTGTTCACAGAATTTTAGGGTGTTGAAACTTCTTCCAAATGTCAGTACAATGAAAGGAGTGGCATCCAGTACTGGAGTTATAGTCAAGATAGTTTCTGCAGAGGATTTCTCTTCTGTATGGAGCATTAATACATCAATACTTCTAGGGAGTAATTAGTTTCTATTGATGGGAGTTGTTCCCTTGGGTCTTTTATTTTTGGTCTTTCCCATCATTTCCAGGTTTTTTTTTTTGTTTTTGTTTTTAATTCGAGAGCCTTAAATCAGTTGATGCAGTACAAATAGAAATTATAACTGAAAGAAATGCTTACATCTCTTACCATAATTTCAAAACAAAAAAGGTGAGTGGTTGCTTAACCTATATTATTTTTTGCTTAGGTAGTAGTTAATGTTGCCTTATGGTGTTTCAGTTGCTTTACTGTTATTTTCATTATCGTCTACTTTATTTGGTTAATTTTTAAACATGGGGGCAGAAGAAGACTTGAGCACTTGTATATGGTGAAAAGTAGGAAATATGAAACCATTCTTCACAAACTTGTATCAACCGTCCAAAATCATGTGGCTTGAATAGAAGCAAACAGGGTTTCTACAAATGCTATCTAAATTTACATTTGCATGTTGTAATGCGATGTTGCCGGTACTTTCGATTAGTTAGACATGACTATTGTTGCTTAGCTTACAAGAACTTACACAAGCTAATGTCATAGCTGGGGCCTTATCTTGTCACATAGGAGTTAGGACTGGCGATATTGAGGCTCTGATGTGGTTTTCAATGATAATCTAACCACAAAGAACAACCTCAGTACCTTTGCTTAAATCTTTCTGAGGCATTCGAAGGGCGTCTTGATAACTAGCACAAGACGCCTTGAACTTTGCGTTAGGCTGCGTTTGGAAATAATGCAAATGGAGTGTAAATCCAGTTCATGGTAAATTTGCACTCTGGTTCATTTTCGCCCGTGTTTGGCAACATTACATTTATGCTTTGACAAATGACAGACCAATGCGTATTTACATTGATAATAAGATGTAATACATCAATAAAAAAGAAGTAAATTTGCATTCAAGTGGGTTTTTGATAAAAAAAAAACATATCCTTATTGAAATTCATGTTTGAAATCATTATGGTTAAAAGTTTATTTGGTAAGAAGGTAAATTTGTCAGTGCAAAACTAATTCAATTTTGCAATTTATATGAACTATTTTATACTTTACATATTTGCATGTTTTCAAACACAGCCTTAGTTACTCGTGGGATGTCTTGAAAACTAGCACAAGACAGCTTGTTCAAGGGGCTCTTCGGTGGACCCCAATGATAACTAGACATCGCAGCCGTGAACTGGGAATGTCTTCCCATGAGTGATAACATTGAATACGGGTGTATTTATCATGTCAAAATTTTTATGCATGTTATAAGTTGTATCAAAAGTTTTACACCCCCATGTCCCATGGTCTATTGATTCTTCATTAGTTCGTCACGCTTTACATGGTGTATTTATCATTTAGGACTTTAATAAGGTTAAAGGTGTTTTTTTTATGCTTCACAAGGTATATTTATTATTAAGCACTTTAACAAGGTTAAATGACCATTACATTTAATTTAATCACTCGTTTATTCACGTTTAGAAGGATGCAAAGTAAGGTGGTGTTGTGTATTTCAATAATTTAAATAAACTATTAAAATGCGTTTCTTATGTGCTCGTACCCAATTTATGGTTTTTTGGTAAACAATTTATGGTTATTTAAGCATTGGATTTGATGTTATTGATGAATTTTTGGGGTTTATGTGAATTTCCTTAAATAAACTAATAGAACTTGATTTGTCCTATTGGTTTTTGATATTCTCTTTTTATTTGGCCTATAATTATTAAAGTGCTTTCTCTATATATTTTGAAAAAAAATGCATGGAATCACTAAATAATGTTAATATTTGAGGCTTACATCTTTTTACACCTCATACCTTGAGGCTTGAGGCTTACGCCTCAAACCAAGATTGTGAGGCTTAAGCCTTGAGGCAAAATCTGAGCGCCTCACCTCAAGGCATACGCCTCACGCCTCAAGCCTTTTAAAATATTGAACAAGATAAAATCAGCATCCTCTTTTAAACCTTTCCAGACAGGTTTGCGGGGAGGGGGCATAGAGCTTTGGAATACTTCTTATCACCATTTGGAGTAGGCATTACAGACAACAAATCACTCATGGCCCTCTAAATTTGCTCCACTGCCCCATTGGCCATCCAAGTTTTATTTCTAAAAATCTTATCATTTCTTAACCACCAAATATGATAGGATATAAGTGCCACATTAGAAATTTCTTTTGGTCCTGTTTATCTTTCAGATTGTTTAAGAAAGAGCTTACTGAGTCCATAACCGAGGAACGCACTCTTCTTGAAATATCTCCAAAAGGGAAAGAAAACCAAAGAGCTCGAACAAAAGGACAGGAGAAGAACAAGTGTGAAATGGATTCATCCCTAACATTACAGAAAGCACAAACAGAGGAGCAAACAAGACCCAAATTATTCATGATCTGCGAAGAAATAACATAACCTTGAAACATTCTCTAGAGAAACAGTTTATATCTTCGGAGCAGGGATAGGTGCTGTTGACTTAGGCTTTGGATCCTATTCGAGGTTAAATATTGAATGACTGAACCTAAGGTTCAGTTTGAGAGGAGTATAAATGCAAATATGTACAGTACAAATACATACAAAATATAAGGTTTTGCACTCTACAAATTTATATTTGTACTCTTTCCAAACAGAGCTTAAGTAAATTTACCTTTTGGGTGCAAGGTCCAATAGAGTTGGTCTCCTAGAGCAGATCTAAAAACATGGGTATGATTGTTAACTCATTCTTCCCCAAAAAGCTGACTCAGGGCCCCCTGATCCCAAGACCCATCCTCATTGAGGACATCCTTTGTGGTCAATTTAGTTTGGCTCCGCTAGGGAGGTCCCATATGGGAGCCACAAAACCTTTCTGATTATAGATCCAAAGAGTTCCCCATAAAGGGGCTTCCTGAGTCATCCCCATCTTGTAGCCCAGAAAAGGAAAAACTTCTAAATGCTTTGAAATACCAATATTTTGAACCTTGGTGTTGGATGGGCCACTAACAATAAAAATAGATGGGTTTATATAAGAAGTTCCACATTTCATAGTCATTTGGGACCTTGGCATCAGCATTCAAAGCATTAAAAAAAAGGGTCCATTTGGTTTGTAGGGATAGGGGATTGGAATTGGAACCGGAATGGGCCATTCTAATTCTAATTGTTTGGTTGGGCAGAATCAGAATCCCATTCCCATTCTTGGTGGAATGGTATTCCTCCATTTGAGGGAATGGTCATTTCCTCTCTCTCCCCTGGGAATGAAATCCCATTCTAACTAATTCCAATTCTCATTCTGATTCAAATTTGAACCAAATAAACTTTGGGAATAAATCATTCTGATTYTGATTATGAGGGATTTCAATTTTGATTCCGACTATAAACCAAGCAGACCCAGGGAAAAAAACGGGATCTTAGTGTTCTGAGTCAATGCATGTTAGTTTCAAAATCAAATGTGCCATTAGACACCATGTAGGGCAACTCAAGTTTAGAAGCATATGTGCCATTAGACACTACATAGGGCTAAAATAAGTAGGAAGAAATTCTTGATACATAATCCAATACAAAATGTGATATTGCCATTTCAAGTGGAATCTGTCCAAATAAATATGTATTTTATATATCAAAATTAAGGGTAAATTGTTGGATCCTCCCTTGAAGTTTTTGATCATTATTGAAACCTCCCCTGAAGTTTAGTAATTGCTATCACCTCCCTTGAACTTTATGATACAATTGAAAGTAGCCCCCCTTTGTTAGAATCTTTTAAGAAGAGGTAGAAAATTGTCCAAAATACCCATGCAATTACTATTGAGGTTGGTTTCTACAGAAAAATAATACAAACTTTATAAAGAACAAAAAATAAAAGAGAATTTAAAAGTTGCAGCCTTACCTTTGACAACGATTGATATGAAGATAAATCAATTAAAAAAAAAAGATTTTAACAAAGAGTGTCTACTTGCAACTATGTCATGAAGTTCAGGGGAAGTGATTGAAATTACCAAACTTTAGGGGAGGCTTCAACAGTTTACCCTAAAATTAAATCACTTTTGTGACATTTATGTGGAGTGAAAACAACAACACAATGCCATTGCCAATATAAAGTATATATTGATGCAAGTCCAATTAGCTGCATTAAAAACATTGTTGTTGAGACTGTATAACCAATCACATCTCTCCACATCACCACATGTTACACTTAGGGGTGGCAAAGGGTGGGTTCAGGGAAGGTTTTGTAAATTTTAGCCCTAACCACCTCCTTAGACTTCCCAACATACCCTCTCCAAAAGTCATAGTAGGTTGGATCTTTAGAATCTAGAGTCTTCCCCCACATGAAAATGCAAAGCCCTCCTAGCACCACTCTCCCTAAATTTGAGAGTGGAATAGGTCAAGTTGGGTCTAAAACCTACATCTAATTTCCTCTTACAAATAAGCAATAAACAAGCAAGATAACATAAAAAACATCAAAATTTCCATATACTTGATTAAAATATATAAAAAACGAGATCAAATTTGTGCCCCACAAACTCCCCAATGCACATCTCAACCTGCATTGGGAACATCTCCCAAAGCTGTCAGTGGGAGATGTCCCCAATACACGATTGGGATATGCTGTGGGGCACCCTCTATGGAGCACAAATGTGGATTTGTAGAAAACACATAAACCATCAATTATCCTTCACAGAAAGTTCAAAATATTATTAAATTCAACACTTTTGTGGTAAAAAATTCAACGCATGAATTCATATGCAAGTCATGGAGGGGCAGCTTTAACCTAGTATCGTACCCTACCTATACTAAATTGTCAAATCCCAAAACGCATCCTTGCCCAAAATCACTTTTTAAGTAAAAAAAGAAACCACTACAATGGATAGGTACGAGGTACCTATCAGATAGGATTAGACCTGTTCATGGGCTGGATAGCCCAGCCTAGCCCCCGATCGGGCTTGAACATGATTTTTAGCCCACGGGCTTGACCTCGGGCCTAAAATCTAGCTCGATTATTTTTTTGGGTTGGGCTTGGGATTTGTCAAAAAAGCCCAACCCAACTCGACTAGTTTCTAAACCCTAAATCCCTATTCCTTAACTCGACTAACCTTTCCTAGTTTCCCTCTTTTCATATTTTTGTCTTCTCATTCTCACTCTCATAGTCTCAGGCACCAGCAAACTCAGACACCTTTCTCACTCTCAAAGGCGAACTCAGGCACCGGCGCCACCAACCTTCTCTCTGGCAATGACCACTGACCAGGCTCTCTCTCTCTCTCTCTCCCTCCCTCCCTCCCTCTCTCTCAAACAAAAGAATTGAGAGAGTTTGGCGATATGAAAGCTAGCATCAAAGGATTGGTTGACACTGGAGTGGCCAAGATCGCTCGTGTTTTTTCTAAGTCCGCCGGATGATCTGAAGGAGAAGGTAGTTTCCGATCGGACCTACATTGACGTTGGGGTTCCGGTCATAGATATGAAAGGCGTAGGTGAAAACCCTTTACTGAAGGGAAGGGAGATCCATCATATGGATGGCCGAACCATGCAGGATGGCTGGGCGAAATTTCAAAAATTTCTTTTCTCCCTTCTGGGAATCATATTCCCAGTTTTAGAAAAACTACATTTTAATCATATTCCCAGTTTTAGAAAAACTACATTTTTCAAGGATCATTCATGAAACAAACCGGACTAAATCTGAAACCAAAAGAATGGGAGAGCAATACCTGATACGGAATCCACACGTGTAGCTCCCAACGTAGGTGTTCACGCCCAAAGAGGGTACCAAAACCTGCTTCCACTAAAGATGACGTAGCTTAAGATGAAGCAGGTTCAGCAATGCAGTCCTTCAGCAAGAACTGCAATCCTTCAGCAAGGATCAAGCAAGGGATGGTGAGCACGAATTAAATCTGATTTTTCTTGCAAAAATCAGAATGAAGATCCAATCTTGATCAGTCCAAGAAACTGGAGATCGAATAGGATAGGGTGGCAAGAAACAGAGGGAGAGAACTAAGAGCAAAAAAAGATGAAACTGAAGCAATCCGCCCCCTCTATTTATAAGCCTTAAGGATCAGTTTCTCCTAATCCAAATATTTATTCGGATCTAGACTCCTTAAGTGATAAGGCTTATCCCCTTATCTTATCTATTGATCCAAACTTAGATCCATACCCATATTCACCCCATGTCACATGACTACTTAAACTGTCATATGACACCCTGATTAATCATATTAATCTTGGGCCCTAGGCCCATTAAGTAAGTGGGCTCACCTCCCCTTTTAATTGTTGGCTAATTTGGCTCTCTTTGTATGGCGTGAGACCCTAACATTGATCTCACAAAAGCCATATGGGTTAAGCCTAGACTCTATTACAAGACTTGACCGAATTCACTGTTGTACATAGTGAACCCCTGAGTCCATCAGTATGGGCTCTTAATGGGCCTAACATTTACACTAAATGGTCCCTGAGTCCAGCCACCTTATGAAGGCCCAAGGACTATGGTTCTTAAGTGAGATTAGCCCATCAAGTATAAAAGCCCTAAATGATCTTACACTTAACCTCTCAGCCCATAATGATCAAACACTGCCCGACAAGAAATGACCTCTCCCTCGGCTGCAAGGTACAGTGTTGCACTCTCTGCTCGAATGGATCTCGGGAATTAAAACATTTTGCAAACCATTTCATAAAATATAATATATATTTATAATATAAATATATTTTGCTAAAGAAATCTCAAACACGGTTGCAATCTATTACCGACAGTTTTGGTTTCCATCAGAGAGAGTGTTGTCTCCGATCATTCACTTTGTCCGACAAAGGGGCTGATTCTGTCACTATGATCACCCATTCAGGTGAATTCTCATATTGCCCCAACATACCCAGGTTTTGACCTCCACTAAGGATCTCACTGACTGACATATTAAAGACAGTCCAATCCAATACCTAGTGCAATACCATAATCAAGTCTAGGGGTTAGGTGTAACTTTCCAATTTTGCCCATCAATCTCCAAGGTCCAGGGCACAACTGGAAATTGGTCTGGGTTCAGGGTTTCAAGCAAAACACACACTACATGTGCTTCGGGTCTAACCCTGGCAGTTGAGACAAGCTACTCCAACCGACTTAGCAGCACATTAGTGTCAGCCTTGGTAGGATAAACCTCCCCAGGTCTACCCAACGGCTGAGAACATTCTAAACTAACTCAAGTCTCATATGTGTCCAGTTTAAGGGTAATTACACAGAAACATACCAAATATAATATGAAACAATTATGTATTTTTATTCATTTACAATAAATGTTAAATGTACATCAATCTGATTGGAACTAAGGGCATACACTGTCTAACATTTACTTCGTGAGGAGATTGTTGAAAAAGTGCAACATGCTTCGGAGACGTGGGGCTTCTTTTAGGTAGTGAATCATGGGATCCCTCTCAGTGTTCTGCATGAAATGATTGAAGGGATACACAGATTTCACGAGTAGGATATTGAGGTGAAGAAAGAGTTTTATATACGAGATCCCATGCGAAAGGTAAGATTCAACAGTAATTTCGATATGTATCAGTCAAGAGCAGCTAATTGGATAGACACCTTGCTTTGTGTCATGGCTCCTCATCCTCCAAGCTTGGAAGAATTGCCACTGGTTCGTAGGTATCCAGTATTCTCTCTCTCTCTCTCTCACCGGCAGTAAATTTGCAGTTTATTTCCAAAAACCATTAAATTCTATGTAGAGCTTTTTTGCCTTCTACTAACTATCCCACGTCTCCATTACATCTATAGAACTGATTCTAGGCATTATGCCTCTATAGCTATCACCATGAGCTGAAAATACATTGAACGTTGCTATCACCACGAGCCTGGCCTAACAAGGGATAATCATTTTGTTAGGTCAGGCTTCAAGCTTGGCCCAGGCTTCGGGCTTTTTATGAGGGCCGGGCTCGGGTCTGAAAAAATTCTGTTAATGAAGAGTATAAGCCCGCCCCATGAACAGGTCTAGGTGGGATAGAAATTGCCATCGTTAAACTAACACTTTTTTTTTTTGGTAAATGCATTTGTTTCATTTAGGCTATATTTGGTTTGAAGGAAAAGGTGGGGAAAGGAAGGGAAACATAGGAAAACCTATACAAGATTTGTAAAGGTTTCCCCAATTTTTCCTTCAAACCAAAATGCAACCTTAAGGTCATTTAGTAAGACACCCCCTTACATTGAGAACGGTTTGTATATTCGTTTGGGAATTTATTCTGAAAATGCCCGTAAAAAAAGCCTCATATCACCTTTTTACATACAAAACACTCCCCACTTTATCTTATTCTGAAAAAAAAAAAATAGATAAAAACAAACAACAAAAAAATAAAGAAAAATAACAGAAATAAAAATAAAAGTAAAATAGACAACAACAAAAAATTATTTTTATTGTCTATTTTATTTTATTTTTATTTCTCTTATCTTATTTTTTTCATTTTGATTTATTAATTTTCTATTGTCGTCTATTTTATTTTTATTTTTCGTTTTCTATTATTTCGAATGGACATTTCAGTTATTTCATTTTAGGGGTGTATTAGTAATATCCAAACTGTAGGATCGGTATTTGTAATTACATAAAACTATGGGGTCATCTTAGAAAATGACCTTTTCATTTATTTTCTTTTTATTTCCTGGTCTTCCTCTTTCAATCCTTCCCTTCGCCGTTCCCCCTTCTCTCTCCCCTCTCTCTCGCTACCTCCCCCTCCCCTCCGTCGATCACCGCCGGCCGCCATCACCGGCCCTCCCTCTCTCTCTCATTTGTGCGTGAGCGCGCGTGCCTTCGCTCTGTCCTCTGCTTCCTAGATGAAACACGGCGCTACAAATCCAGCTATCGTGTGCCGCCAAAGAATACAGAAGTAGGTAAGGTGAAATCGTCATATTTGTCTGTAGAAATTGTGTGTTTTGTACACATATTCATGATTTGTATGATTCAGATCAAAGCAAGGCTAAATTTTGAAAGAAGAAACTAAAGGAACAAGTTTTAGATGAAGTTCTGGAAAGATAAGAACTAGGTTTTAAAATTTCTTATAAATATTCCATGCCTTGTGAAGAGTTTTGTGATTGGTTGTGATGAAATGGTTCTTGATGCCTCCTTGTTAGCCATTTGCTCAATATAGAGCCATTAGCATGAGTTCTTGTTCAATTAACACAGCGAGCGAAGCTGCAGTAGAATTATGTTTATAGTTTATAGAGGTTGGCTGTGTATCTATCTATCCCTTGTGGGGATGTGATTCAACTTCTCCAGGCTGATGTGTTCCTTCAGCACCTGTGATGATCATAACCAAGAACTTATGCTAATCATGCTACTTACCTTCTATCTTCAAGAGAATCCCCATGCTAATGCTGTATAATGATGTTTTTTTAGAAGATGAGTGCCTATTTATGGACTGTTCTACCATGACAGAGATACAGCTACAAGAAACTTAGTTTTGTTCGTCTATTAAAATTTTCCTTATCCTGCAGCAGACATGGAAACCTTGGCTGAGGCTGCAGAATCTCTTGCTCCTACATCGTCAGACTTCAGCAACCTACCCAACTGGATAATTCCAAATGATGACCAGCGTTTTCTTTTACTCTTCATCATGGGTACATACTTTGGACCTGATCTTAAGGGAGAGAAGCCAAAAAAATCAGTTCTGCAGAGAATGGCCGAGGGGCTTCCACCTTATACTTCTGATCAGCTAGCTGGATCACAAATGAAACTGTTGGAAGCAGAGAAGATATACTACTATGTGCTTAGGGAGGCAGGCCAATCTGTCATTGTGAAGCCACCCATTTTGCATCTATTCTTCCAAGGGAATCTCTTCAACCCAGCACAGGATGCTATTGCTGATTACCGCCAGTTTCCTGATCTCTTTCCTCCTCATTTGCATCCCCAGTCACAGTTAAGTGATCAATGCCATGTAATTGAGAACATTGTATTCATTAATAATCCAGAAATATCTTACATTAAACCAGAGGATGTAGAAAGATTTAAGAGACTAACTAGGCTTGAGGATTTGCTGCTGGATAGAAATGCTGCAATGTCACACACAGGTGATGGTGTCAGTGGAGTTACAAATTCCAATTCAGAACCACAGAAATCTAATGGCAAGTTGCCCCTCAGAAGATCTTCTAGGAATTCTCATAAAAGACAGTATTCAGATTATGTAGATCCTGAGGAGGCTATGCCACCCATTCATGACGCAATACCTTTCAACAGTGTACCATTCAGTAGTACACCTATGCCATGCAAGAGTGTCCCAATGAGCGTGCCAATGATGCCAACTGAATTAAAAGCTGAGCCTGCAGAGAGAATGGGGTCAGCTATGCTTATTCTTCCTTCTCACCCAACATCTGAAGAGTGGAATAATATTGTAGCTACCACCAAGAATGGGATAGCTTTGACTGGCAGTGTAGCTGAAAGGCAGGCTGGTCCACTTATAGGACTCGTGGACATTGGTGTTTGTGAAGATGCATATTTGTTCCGTATATCCCTTCCAGGTGTAAGAAAGGATGAAAGTAAGTTGGATTTATGAACTCAACCTGATATATTACCAGATTCATGTGCTCTCTTAAAAAAATGCCCCTTTGAGAATAAAAATGACATTTTATCAATCTATTGAATGGATTGGATATATGAGCTCAACCCGATTTATTACCAGATTCATGTGTTATATTTAAAAAAGTATTCCCCTTTGAGAATAAAAAATGACATTTTATCAATCTATTGAATGGAAACTTGCCATCTTTTTCACAAACCATTCTACTTATCTCATCTCATAACATGTGAGAAATTTTTGAAAAAGAAAGGATTTTTTTTTTCTAAAGAGTCCTGGTATGGGTTATTAGCAAGCGTATCTACTCTTTGTCTGACATCATAGCTGCTTGTTAATTAAACTCATTGTGGTTACAGAGGAATTCAGTTGCGAAGTGGAGACTGATGGGCGGGTATTGATAAAGGGAGCCACAACAACAGGTGAAAAGCTGGTATATAAGAACTCTCAGGTGTTTGAGATGCAAACACAGTACCTTTGTCCATCAGGACACTTTTCTGTAGCCTTCCAGCTCCCTGGTCCAGTAGAACCTCGAGAATTCTCTGGTAATTTTGGGGCTGATGGGATTCTCGAAGGTATAGTAATGAAAGAGAGATCACGGAGATAATTTGGTATGTATCTTTTCCTTTTATGTTTCTTGAAGCACAATTTGATTTGTAAACTCTCTCTCTCTCTCTCTCTCTCTTGATGCATCTTGGGGAAATAGAATTAGTTGCAGTAAGTCACAGAATGGTGGGAAGTTACTTGAGATGTTTCACTTGTCTCCATCTTAGTACTCAGATCTGTTCAACCACCACCAGTTTTATGTAGTGGACCAACTGATTCCATATAGGGAGTGCTTTTGAATCTTGATCCATAAATTCATGAATCATGATCCATAAATTCATGAATCATGATCCAGAAATAAGAATTAAGACCCAGAATGCACTTAATGGTTGAGCTGAAATAGTTGACTAAAATATGAAAATTAATTACATTTGATGCCCTTGATGCAATCCAACCAAAGGACTTGGGTTCAAAATAAATAAAATAATCGTTCATAAACAAACATATACACGCTTATTATTGTTGTTATTGTTTAGCCCTTTATAAACTTGATCATGTTGAGTCGACTTTCCTCCAGGTAACCAGTGGATTAATGTAATAATACCAATGTTCTTGATAAATCATTGAAAGAATAAAAGGGGAAATTCTGAGGGTCCTAGTATGCAACATATTAACATTATAGGCCATGCCAGTTTGGAATGATTTTGTTTGTGTGTAGAGAGAGATTGCCTCTTGCTACAGACAATCTATGGAATGGAAGAAAAATTATTCATATTCATACGAGCAACCCTTGATAGTTTGGAAAGGGCTCTATTGATGATGATAGATAGTCTGAATTATTGTATGCCCAATGTGTCCCCTAATTTGGATGACAGGTTGAAACTATGATATCTAGATTCCTCTACAGTCTTGGCATTACCTCTGTGCCTCTGTCAGACATTAGTATGTTTCAGCATGGGCACCTCCACAGTATCGTACTGTATCATAGTATGAAATAAATCATACTGTTCAAAATTTTATAGCACCTTACAGGTTTAATTAAATTTTGACAAAAGGCCTCGAGAAATGATACTTTAATATTTAAGAACGTGTCCAGATCATAAGAAATAGAGTCATATATGCTTGATTCCTGTAATTATGTTGTCTTTGTGTCTATTTTTGGGAATTGAATTGGTATACCATCACCATGTTTTCTGCACCTACACACCTGTATCTTGATGATGCCAATCTCATCATTATTATCTTAGAAAGGAAAAGAAAAAGGAATTAGGGTATCCTCATCTCATTCTTGTAAAAAGACTGGAGGAGAAAAATCTGCAGCCTTTTTAAACTTGTTTTGCATCGTTCACAGGGAAATATATATGTATATCTATTACAGTACATTATTGCCTCAAGGTGTCTCAACCGTTGATAGCAAATTTTGCCATGGACATGGTTGAATGCCAGCTTGCGTGCAAACCTGACTATCTCCCACCACCCATGACTGTGTCAGTTGCTAAAAACATTGATGGCATATTAACAAAGGTTTACAAAGATTCAAAAAAGAAAATTTAAACAAACTGTCATTTGCTCCGAAATAGACAAAATTTATAACAAAGGTTTATAAAGGTTCAAAGGGAAACGCAAAGAATATCGTTAATGCAATTTTAACACAAGCATCAGGAAATGCTTTGAATATGCACATGATTCAAATTTTCAACACATGTGATATGTTCATGTATGTCACAGTTTAAGGGGGTAATAACTGGAAATTGTTTATGCTTTGAACATGGCCATCTCTGGAATTTCTCCTAAATCCCTAATATATGGCCTTTTGGTGAATCTGAAATTGTGATATTTGTGATAGTTTGAACCTTGGATATGCATGAATATGGTGGAAAAATTAAGATATGTATGGATTATGTCAGGGAAACTTAAAAAAAAAAAAAACATCACTAACACTAAATTTGAGCATCAGATGAAGGCTTATTCCCATATGAAACATATACTTTCTTAGTCCATATAAAATGTGAATTAAAAACTATTCCCATAAGAAACATTACTTGGAAACCAATATAATTCTGGTTAGTCTAAATTTTAATAATCGATTAGTTTTTAATTTTTTTTAAGGCTGTGTTTGGAAATGATGCAATTAAGTGTTAATACAAATATGTAGAGTGTAAAACGGTTCATATAAATTGTTAAGTTGGGTTAGTTTTGCACTGACAAATTTATCTTCTTACCAAATAGACTTTTAGCTGTAATGGATGCAAACACAAATTCCAATAAAACATATTCTTTTTTTATCAAAAGCGAACTTGAAGTCTTGAATACAAATTTACTTTTTTATTGATGTACTTTTACATCTTATTATCAA